TGATGAGTGACTCAGTTTCCTGTCTTGCTAAGTACTCTGTTTAAGGAGGGCACGATTCAAGTGTGAAACTTCTGTAGTCTGCATCGTGCCCCGTAAGCACGATCAGCATCCCAGACAAGTCTGCTAATGTTTGTGACAAGCAAGGGCTGCCATTCTGGAGGCTTAGTCTTCCCTCCTGCCCTGCTACCCCCAATCTGGGAAAATCTTCACAAACCAACTACGCAAAGAATGTTTGGGGGGGGTGTTAAAGCAGTCTTTCTAGAAAGAAGTCAAGGCCACTGAAGGGAAGCAGCAGTTTGAATGACGAATGTGAACTCCCTTTGTTAGCATTTTGGCTGCTGTATTATTTCCAAAGCATTTGCTCCACAGACTCAGCCCTGGGAATCTAAGAGGTTGTGCTGATCAGAGGACACTGTAGGCTGAAGCTCCTCTTGCTTCCCTGTGGCATTCAGTTCTGAAGCCCACGATCCTCTGGGGGAGGGGGGCATTCTTTACAAACTGGAGTCTCCATTTTATCACATGTGGCTAAAGGATCGCAATCCTCAGGCACCTGCAACAATTTTTATTTCCAGGATTCTTTCTCTTGTCAACTACAGAGCAGGAAACAAATGTATGAAAGCAGATATCTTTTTTCCGCATCCAAAAGTGGAGCAGCTGACAACAGTTGTAGTCTGGAACTGCTGAAAACCTTGAACAATCCATTTCAGGGCACTTTCGGGAGAACATTTCCATCCGGTATAGAGATTGTACCCATCCAACCTCAGGACCCACACCCATTTTGCTTACAGCTTTGCAGTATTTTAAGAGGTTTTGTGTCTACTTGTAAAAAAAAAACAAACAAAAAAACAAAAAACAGATAAAAAGAAGCAACAACAATACATCAGTTACGATTGGACTCTGTTTGCAAGCCACTGAAGACCCAATCCGAATGGTCTTAACCCCCCCAAAAAAGAAAATTATTGGCCAATGTCACTGTATGGTTCAAGGGTAAACCCGGCTTTGGGTGAGCTTTATTCTGCTCAGTTGCTTTCTCACTCTTCTCTCTCCATTTCTCAGCTCCACTTCCTTGGTTAGGGCTCTATTCGCAGGTAGAGTCTCCCTTCTTAGTCTAAAGAGGGACTTAGCTGCTATTTCCAGGGCTACATACTACCCCATTCACATCAAACAAGGACGTAGCTTACTTTCCTCCGTATTCCCAGCCAACGTCTTAAGATCAGGTCTGATTTGAACAGCTTGGATCATATGCCCACCCCAAAATGATCACTATGGACAGGGGATGAAATGAGTGACTTATCCTAGGTCACGCGTTCCACCCAGGATAGAGTTGACTGCCTCAAAACTGTGTGTATCCCCCAATAGGAATCAGGATTGGTGGGAAGGAACAAAATGGAAATGCATGGTGAGAAGGCAAACAACAAACACCCACTCTGGGCAACAATAATTGTTGCTTATGTGAGATAAGTGTTTTCTTTTTAAACTTGAAGTCCTTTTCTGTTCATTAACACACTGGAGGCTTGCAACAATCCTTGAAGGGAGCTAACACTGGATATATTATTCTCATATAGCAGAGGAAACTGAAGCCCAGATCTGTCAAGTGAATTGGATTAAGTCTGCACAATTGCATAGTGTTAGAGACGCTGGACTCTCAGGCTGTAGAAATCTGGATTTTCGGAACATCAAATCCATATGTCGGGTTGTGTTTATTTCATTTTATTTTTTAACCCCGTAACCCATTCCCATTCCCCTCTTACGCCACATCCCCAAGGCCATTCTAGTATGTTTAATGTGTAGCTTTTTTTGTTAGACTGCTTTCAACCTCTGTATTGCTTTTTTTGAGCATGTATCCTTAATTTATATAAGTAGTACTACGCTATGTATTTCAATCTGTTTACTTTTTTCATTCCGCATTATGTTTTGAGATCACTCCATGTTGCTGTGTATATATTTAATCTGTTACTTCCAACTGTTGCATAATACTCTATGGCACACAGCCACCAAATTTTATCTAGCCAATCTCTCAAGTCAAGGATTCCCACTGGAATTCTGCTAAACTTCCACCAGCACAAATAACACTTCCATGAACATCTTCATACATGTCCCCCTATGGGCTTGCTTTGGGATATTCCCACATATTCAGGAGCAGAATCGTTGGGTGAGAGGACATGTGTATATTTAATGTGACTACATTAACTGTGTAACTTCGGGGCAGTGAGGCTTTCCTTGGCCACTCTTTCTTCAATTTCAACCCCTATGTCGCATTTTATAGTTCCCTTTCCTGCTTTAGTGTCTCTGCTTAGTACTTATCACTATCAAATAAATGAAATATTTGTATGCTATCTCTGTTATCTTATTATAATTACAATAAATGTCCAACAGATTTGTGTCTGTTTCAATCACTGCTTATATCCCAAGCACCTAAAACAGTTCTTGACACATGAATGATGCTCCATAAATATTCATTGAGTAATGGAGTAATGCCAAATTGTTCCCCAGAATAGCTGATCCAGTCTACATCATGTGGAACTAAGGTTTCTTATATCCCCATATCCTCACCGACACATTAACAACCTTTTAATTTTTGCCAGTCTGAGAGCTGCTTACTTAAACTTGTGTTTCTAATGAGCTTTAAGCACTTTCTCATGGATGTCATTCTATCTAAGTGCTGCCTTTGGTAGTAAGCTCTTTGTTACTAAAGAGGCAAATCAAGTACTAGTAAAGATTCCCAGAGAAATGCCCAGGGCTGTGCATCCACATCCCTAGCTAAAAGCAAGCACAGTCAGGATGTCTAACATCCAATTTGCAAAGAGAACTCTAAAACCCAAAACAACAAGTGTTTGGAACATCAATTTCAACTCTACCTCCCAAAGCACGTATCTTTTGGCTGTTGGATTGTCTCAACAGAACTTGTGGAAGAAGTTGAAATTCCATGGCATGCTTCACTTAATGAACATAAAACTGTTGGAATAGCCATTTTTCCCTCACTGGCCCCCATTAATACATCCAAGGAAGTATGTGTCCCAGGATTAGCTCATACATGAAGCTCAACTTGCAAATGCCATACCACTCCTTTCTAGGCCCGTTCCAGATTCTCTCAGCCCATGGTGGAGAGCAGGTTTTAGCTTCATCTTCTTCTCCGGTCTAAGCAGCTTGGTGTGCCAAATGGGCAAGGGCTTAAGGTCAAGGAGACAAAGTTCTAAACATTCACTCGTTTCACCTTTATTAAGACTCTACAATGTGCCAGAAAGCACTCTAGGCCCTGGGGATCCAGTCCCTGACCTCAGGCAATGTGCAATCTTGTGGGCCAAGAGTCATATTGTACAAGCAATTACATTCAGAGCCTGTGATAAGGTTTATGCTGGAACGAAGAACAGAGTGTTGGAGTGCACAACAGAAGGTCACTTGACCTGGTCAGGGAAAGGAGAAACAGAAGCAGATGAGACAGAAGGAAGATTCCTCAGAAGCATATTGCTTGAACTGAAACTAGAAGGTCAAGTAGAAGCTTACCGGAAGAATTAGGCGGGTGGGACACAAAAAGAACAGCATGTGCACATTCCAAAAACTTACAGGTAGCTCACCGTGGCTTAAAATAAGGGAAGGAAGCTATGGTAGACATTAGCGATTTTTGCCAAATATTCCAGTTCCCTGCCACCCCATGGTTCTGAGTCCATTGTAAGATAACAATTCCTGCCCCCCTCCTTGTGCCCAGGGATGGTCGATGAATTGTGAACAGAAGTGATGCCTGTCATTTCCAGGCTGATCATTTCACTGCCAGAGTAAGAGCCACCGGGCTCTCTTTCCTCTGCCATGGTGAAAGGCAATGGTCCAGGTGCAGGAGACTCCATGAGCCTTTGTCCCGGAATGAAGATGAGGTGGCTCAGAGTCCCTGCTGACTTGCAATTGACAAGCAGCTGAGTGAGAAATAAACTTCTGTTCTTTTATATCACTAAGATTTGGGGTTTGTTTGTTACCACAGCATAACCTAGCCTATCCTGACTAATATAGAAGGGAAGGGTAGCAGGAGTGAGGAGTGGAGCCACGGAGGTAAACACAGGCCTAATCATGATTTGCTTCTTAAGCCACACTAAGTAGCTTTATCTTGTGTGATTAGTGGCTGTTATTCCCTGTTCTGCAGAACCCTTGGGGCCTCAGGGAAGATAAGAGACACAAAATATTCAGGGATCCAGGCCTCTGACCCTCACTTCAATAGGATACTTCTGCTTTTATCCATCCTTTATTAGGGTTTATTTAAATATTCCATTTTTAAAACAAGGCTTCACTAGCAACAACAACAAAAATGAACTAAAACCCCAGATGAATGATGACCAGACTTGATTTTATAAAGATTGCTCTAGATCTGGGGAATGGATTGTCAACAGGCAAGACTGGAGGGATGAGAAGTGATGGCGAACTGAGCTAGGGAGGTGGCAGTGGGGGTGGAGAGAAGTGAATACACTTAACAAAATATTTGGGAGATAGAATCCACAGACTTGGTGGCCGATGGGCCATGCGGGGTGGGTGGGAGAGAAAGGCATCAGTGATGACTCCAAGATTTCTGCCTTGGACTGAAGGTCAGTGCCATTCGCTGAGATGGGAATCACAGGAGGAGAAGCAGGTTCGGGGAGAAGCTGATGAACTCACTTCTGAATATGTTGATTGCCCCAGGCCCATGAAACAGTCAAGTTGGGAGGACTCGCAGGAGAGAGGTCTGAGTTCAAGAAGTCCCAGTTCCACCGCTTAGTAGCTATGGGAACTTGAGCAGTTGGACCCCTCTGAGCCTCAGTTTTCTCATCTGTAAAATGGGCCAAAAAATATTCGGCTTCGTCATGTTGTTGGTTTATATCAAATGTAAGAGTTTGTGCCAGAAGATGCTATGGACATTCTAAAATGCCACATAAATGGTAATAAGTAGGCGCTCGGCCATTCCCACTCCTCGGGGGCAGTGTGACTTCTTGCCGGCCGGGGTGTGAACCTTGGCTCTGACCTCGGCTGCCCTCCCTGAGGGGTGGCGAGAGCCGTGCACTTGCAGACGTGACTGAGGCTGCTAGAAATCCGAAGGCCTACCCCCTCACAGATGCCCACCTCACCAAGAAACCGCTGGACCTCGTCCAGCAGTCATGCAATCACAAGCTGCTTCGGAAAGGAGCCGGCGGGGCCACCAAAATCCCCAACAGGGGCATCTGTGAGTTGGCTATGACGGCTGCGGATGCTGAGCCCCTGGAGATCATCCCCGCCAGCAGAGAAGTCTCCCCACCCCCACCCCCCAAGCAGCAGACCCCGCCCATTCAGCCGTTCATTGAAAAGCTCTTAGGTCAACCCCGGGGCCTCTGCCCCACACGGCCCTGAGTCCTCCTCCTGGGGTTGTGTATCACATCATTCACATGCAGTTTCTCCAGCTACCTTCTCTGCGTAGATTCTGGTACTAAATCTGGTTTCTGCATGTTCTGCATTGGTTTTACAGTCTGTTATCCATATATTACTCCCCCGCCCCACCCCAATCTCCCAATTCTCCTCTCCCTCGGTCATCTTCTCGTCTCTTTTGAAACAACGAACTCATCATGCCCCAACAGGTGAAAGCCTGTTGAATGGCGACACCATCCAAAGGCAGTGGAGAGCCAGGATGGAGATCTGGTTCCGGCTTTCAGGCGCTAACTTCCTGTTGTGCGGAGGGAATGATGGGGGTAAACACCATCCGCTTTGTAGCCCTTGTGCCTGGCTTCCAAAATCATTCCATACGTGTCTGCTCGCCAGGGGATTACATACCACTGGGGGAGAAAGCACGTATTCTGTGAGGTTTGGAGGTGTATGTCCAAGTGTCATTTGCCAATATACCCCTGCTGTTTGCTTTGGTGATGTGATGTTATCTCCCCCACCCCCAAGTCACAACCGTGCCCCTGAGCGGGGCAGGGCGGTGGCATAACAAAGGGACGTGCTGTACAATTCCAGAGGCTGCCTGGGCGAGTTAGACACGGGGCAGTTGACTTAGGTCTTGAACGAGTCCAGAGTGGCAGGAAAAAAGAAGGTCAACTGATGCTGGAATGAAGAAATCTGGGCAAGTCATGGAGACCTGATTGGAAGTGACAGCTGAGATGCTAGAATCCAAGGAAACATTCTCTCTGGTGAATGGAGATGTCTTCAGTGGGCACTTGGTACCAGCTCCAAGAGCCCTTACCCCTGTTTCCTGCCACGATGTGCATCAGATGTACATATTCTTTATCACATCAGAATGACAGTGTTAGCATGTCATTCTTTGAGCATCCTAATGAAGAAATATATTCATATTCCCCCTTCCTTCAAAAAATGGTAATAAGTATTTTCATGGGGAACACAATAAATGTAAGGAGGAAGGGAGATTTGTCAGGGGACATTCAGGAATTCTTTGGCCTGAAGAGAAACTACAGAGCTTTGTCTGATTCATGGTGGCATCACCAGGGACTTTCCAATTTCTGGGAAACTTATTCCTACAAAGAAATTATTTCCAGTGGCTTGGTGTCGTGGCAATTTAGCTGACTTGAGCCAGAAGTAGGGGATTTGGAGGAAGTCTGCCTAATCGAGGGCAGTGGGAAATTGGGCTGGAGCCAATGTAGATGTGGCAGACTGGGAAACATTTTTGCAGACAGAAAGCATTTAAACAATTTTTTATTGTGGTAAAATACACATAACATAAAATTTACCATTTTGCCCATTTTTAAGTATACATTTCAGTGAAATTAAGTACATTCACATTGCTGTGCAACCATCACCAATATCCTTCTCCAGAACTTTTTCATTATCCTAAACTGAAACCCTGTATTCATTAAACAATTAACTCTTTTCCTTGTGTCCTCTCCCCCACCCCTGGAAACCACTATTCTTATTTTCTGTCTCTATGAATTTGACTATTCTAGGAATCTCACATAAGTGGAATCAAATAGCATTTGTCCTTTTGGGTCTCGTTTAGTTCACTCAGTATAATGTCTTCAAGGTTCATCCATTTCATAGCATGTGTCCAATTCTCATTCTTTACGGCTGAAAAACATCCCATTGTACATAATCTGCATTTTGTTTATCCATTCATCCATTGATGGACACTTGAGCACTTTCCACCTTTTGGCTGTTGTGAATAATGGTGCTATGAACATTGATGTACAGATACCTGTTCAGGTTCTTGCTTTCAATTCTTTGGGGTATATACTTAGAAGTGGAATTACAGAATCATACGATAATTCTATTCTTTTGAGGAACCACTATACTGTTTTCCTCGATGGCTGCCATTTTATATTTCACCAGCAATATACAATATTTCCACTCTTTCCACATCCTAGCCAACAGTTGTTATTTTCTGTTTTTTTTTTTTTCTTTTTTAAATAGCCATTCTAATGAATGTGAAGTGGAATCTCATTATGATTTGGCTCACATTTCCCTAATAATTAGTGACGTTGAGAATCTTTTTATGTGCTTATTGGGCATCTGAGTAAATTCTTTAGAGAAATACCCGTTGAAGTCCTTTGCCTGTTTTTTTTTTAAAGATTTGTTTTATTTATGAGAGAGGGAGGAGAGCGAGAACAAGCAGGAGGGGCAGAGGGAGAGGGAGGGAGAATCTCAAGCAGGCTCCACGAGCCTGATGTGGGGCTCAATCTCACAACCCTGACATCATGACCTGAGCTGAAACAAAGAGACGCTTAATCAACTGTGTTACCCAGGCACCCCTCCTTTGCCTATTTTTGAGTTGGGTTGCTTATTTTTTGTTGTCGAGTTGAGGAGGTTCTTTATATATTCTGGATAATAACCCCTTTTCAGATATAGAATTTGCAAATATTTTCTCTCTATTCATAGGTTACTTTTTTACTCTGTTTAGTATCCTTTGTAGCACAAAATTTTTAATTTTGGTTAAGTCCAATTTACCTCTTTTTTCTTTTGTTGCCTGTGCTTTTGGTGTTATATCCAAGAAATCATGGTCATATCCAATGTCATGAAGCTTTTTCCTTATGTATTCTTCTCTAAGAGTTTTATAGTTTTAGCTCTTATGTTTAGGTCTTTGATTCATTTCAATTTTTCTATATGGTGTAAGGTAAACCTTCCTCTTCATTTTTTTGCATGTGGATGTCCAGTTTTACCAGCACCATTAGTTGATGAGGCCATCCTTTCCCCATTAGATGGCCTTGGTACCTTTGTCAAAAATCATTTGATCACATATACTAGGGCTTATTTCTGGGCTTTTTATTATATGCCGTTGGTCTATATGTCTGTCCTTGTGCTAGTATCACACTGTTTAATTACCATAGCTTTGTAGTAAGTTTTGAAATCAAGTATGAGACATCCAACTTTGTCTTTTTGAAAATGATTTTGTCTGTTTGGGATCTCTTGAGATTCTATATGAATTTTAGGGTGGGATTTTCTATTTATAAACACACACACAACATTGTTGGGATTGCATTGAATCTGTAGATTGCTTTGGAAGAAAGTATTTTTTAAAAATCATTTTCAACAGTGACTTTGTATTGTTAAACCAACCTTGTGTTTTATTTGCTACTAGTTTAAATTTTTTTATTTATTTTAATTGAAGTATAGCTGACATACAATATTATATTAGTTTCAGGTGTACAACATAGTGATTTGACATTTATATACATTATGCAGTGCTTGCAATAAGTGTAGTCACCATACAAAGTTATTACAATATTATTGACTATATTCCATATGCTGTACTTAATACTGTTGTGACTTATTTTATAACTGGAAGTTTGTGTCTCTTAATCCGCTTTACCTATTCCACCCACCTCCCCAACACCCTACTTTCTGATAACCACCAGTTTGTTCCTTGTATTTATGAGTCTGTTTCTTTTTTGTTTGCCTTTTGTGTTGTTTTTTAATTTCACATATAAATGAAATCATATGGTATTTGTCTTTTGCTGTCTGACTTACTTCACTTAGCATAATACCCTCTAGGTCTATCCATGTTGTCACAAATGGCAAGATTTCTTTTTTTTACAACTGAGTATATATATCACATTTTCTTTATCCATTCATTTATCAATAGACACTGAGGTTGCTTCCAAATCCTGGATATTTTAGATAATGCTGCAATAAGCATAGGGGTGCATATATCTTTTTGAATTCGTGTTTTTGTTTTCTTTCAGTAAATACCCAAAAGTGGAATTACTGGATCATATGGTATTTCTATTTTTAGGAACTTCCATATTGTTTTCCACAGTGGCTGCAGCAATTTACATTCCAACCAATGGTGCACAAGGACTCCCTTTTCTCCACATCCTCACCAACACTTGTTGTTTCTTGTCTTTTTGATACTAGCCATTCTGACAGGTGTGAGGTGATATCTCATTGTGGTTTTGATTTTTATTTCCCTGATGATGAGTGGTGTTGAAATCTTTTCATGTGTCTGTTGGCCATCCGCATGTCTTAAAGTATACTCTTCAGTAAAGCATTTAGAAGAAGCAAAGAAAATAATAATGATAAAAATATGAAGAACAGAGTTCTGGGTAGAGAGTCAGAGAATTTCAGTTCTGCAATATGGTTATGGATGCAACCTGTGTCCCTTTGCAAGTCATTTGCGTGTTCTGTGCCTTGGTTTCCATCTCATCTCACCCAAAGGACAATTGAAGTTATCTCAGAAGGGCCTAAATCAAGAATCTTGATATTAGATGTAGAGCTATAGGGCTATACACAGATTTCATAGAAAAGCTTTACTAATGACATAGTTCTTGTTAAATTAATCACTATTTAATTGAAATAAAAGGAAATCAAATAACCATGTGTTTATTGATATGATGATATGTCTGCCTTATCTGACGAAGACATCTACAAAGCCTTAAGGACTATCTAGAAGGAAGAGTTTAAAAGGCTGAGAAGTTTGGAACAATGTGATGCCCACCCCCCAAACCTAACTCATCCATTCCAAGATTCCTGTGCCTAGACAAGCTATTGCCTCTTGACCATATTTCTTCCTGTTGACACTACAAACATTTGTTACGTCAACCTAAAGTCAAGTGGAGCCAGAACGCAGATGATACCCCCACCTTACTACCAGCCAAATTTGGACATTCCCTACTTAGGGACCAGAGGCAATACCTACAACTTTATCTCTAGATAACAACTTCTTATCATTACCTATATGGGTCCTTGCCTGTCCAACTCCTGTATTAGTTATCTATTGCTATGTAACAAGTTATTCCAAAACTTAGTGGCTGCAAACAAACATGTATTGCATCACAATCTCTGGGGGTCAGGAATCCAGGAGAAGCTTATCTGGGTGGTTCTGGCTCAGGGTCCCTCACGAGACGACAGTCAGAATGAGAGAACATATTTGCAAGTCATATATCTGACAAGGGATTTATAGCCAAAATATA